GGGTTTGAAGGGCTGAACTGTGAGAATGTCGGGGACGGTGCTGGCTGCCGTGATCACTCTTAATTAACATGTTGCAAAGACATTCCTTACCATAAAAAGCCAAGGAGCATGCGGAGCCGTTCCCCAGCGCCGCGCAGCATCGGACGTGACTTGGACACTTGAGGTCAGTCCCGAGGGGGCGAGCGGCTCCCCCCGCTCCCACCCCAAGGAAGGGATGGCTCTGGCCGAAGCATGCTGCTGCTCCCCAAGCAGGCCTGGCTGCCGCGGCGGCTGCTCGGCAGGGCCGGGAGCCTGTTCACCTCCCCGCATTCATTCCCTGTGTGGGGCAGAGGCAGGTGGTATGGGAAGGGTTGGAACCAGGGCAAGTGCGAGGCTGGATTTAGGAAACGGGGACCAGGTGGCTCCACTTTCCCTTTAGCTCAGGGAAAATGAGGGTCTTGGACTCCCACATAAGAGCCACACAGCCAGAAGCAGCAGATGTCACCTCTTCCCCCAGGTACTCACCACCTCCAGCTCCTCCTCGCTGCACAGCTGCCACTGAACCAGGTCCTCAGCCCCCAGCAGCCTCTCACCCCGCCTTTCTTCCTCCAGACATGGCCAGGGCATCCTCGGGGTAGAAAACAACCCAGCCGACTTCTGTTGCTGGTAACGGAGAGACCAGGAGGGAGCAGGACATTTTGCATCCTATTCTCTGACTGCACCTCCCCACCTCTGAGCTGAGCTGGACCAGCTCCTCACCAGCCCCGGACCGGTACAGCTTTCCTGGGGGAACGGGCTGACAGTAAAACCCAGAAACGCCTCTTTCAGCGTAGGCGTTCCCAAAGTCTCCAGAGAACGCAATGTGGTCCCATCCCAGAGCCTAAGGGATCTCATACATTTTCTTTGGGCTCTGGTTATCAGAAGAGCATCAGCACAGGGAGGACACCAGCTTCCACACTGAAGCTCAGATGCTCCAGAAAGGCTGCAGGCAAAGCTCCCCCCTTCCTTCCCCCGGCTTTGCCTGCAGCCGTTCTAGGTAAATCTCTTCACCCTGGGATCGGCTGCAATAAAACATGTTTTACAGCCTCAGCCTGTGCACGACAAATTCCACACACTCTCCTGGAGAAAAATTCAGACCAGACCACTGCTGTGGCAGAAACAGATCCAGAAAGATGGAATCCAGCTCCTTCTGGTGAATGTCAGCGTGCGTATCCAGCAGGCTCGACGCCTCGTATAACGCAAGCCAGCAGTGCTCTGCTTATGGTTAAAAAAACCTCTGTCCAGCACCTGCCAGCCTTCAAAGGTCTTGGGGCTGGCAGAGGAAAAAAACAGCTAGCACTGAAGTCTCAGGTTTCCTTAAGCATTTGAGATCCGAGAGCGGGAGGGAAGGTCCCTGCCGGGGAGGGCTCTTGGGTCAGTACCGTGAGCCTACGTGGCCAGACACATGAAAAACAGCCGGGCAGGTGCGATCAAGATTTGAACCCGCACAGCGGTCCAGCTCTGGGCTGGACAAGCCTGTCAAATCTGCTGTTTTTCAGGGATCTGCTACACCACTGTAAACACTGAAACACACATGGTGTTTCAGACCGTGCTCAGGTCCAGGCTGAGGAGGAAGAGGAGGTCAGGGCTCCAGAAAGGCCAGGAGCTACCTGAAAAACAGCTGTCTGTGGAGGCAGCAGCCCAGGCACGCGGCTGGGTCTGCCACAGCAGGACCTGCGTTCTCATCCAGGCTCTAACGCCCGACTCCCGTGTGACGTGGGGCGAGGTGGGTCGTCACTTCTCTGCCCTTTGCCACTTGGCCTCTCTTATCCACTGGCACCATAACTGCCCGGGGCAGACCCTTCCCAGGCTGCGCAACCCTGACTTCCCCAGGGGAACAGCCCACCTCATAGCTGTGACACTCGCTGCGCAGAGCAGCCTCCCCGGCTAGGAAAAGAAAAGGCAGGGTTGGTGGACGCACAACGGCAGAAGGGTTAAAACGCAGCTCTCCACCCTTCTGCCACCTGTTCTCACTCCCCATTTCATGTTGAGGTCCGCCTTGTCCTCTCCGCCTCCCTGTGCGCTGTTTGCAGCGCCCCGGACAGTGACACAACGGCCCTTCCACCACTGGGCTAATGAGACACCAGCACACATTCACTCCTGTAAACACGGGCTCAGGTGAATAATGGATTTGCTCCAAATTGCAAAGTAGCAGCTATTGTGAGCACCCCTAGCTCCGTGAAAGCCCTGTACTTCAAGTGTTACCATGGGCAAATAATGAAGATCCCACAATAGAGCAAGCAGGAGTGAGTGAGCGAGGTGGGAGCAGGAGGTGCCTGGACAGAGACCAGAGAAACGGCATACGTCCCCCAAAGCTCTGAAAGGCCTTGGTGCGAAGATGGCAGAGTCCAGCTCCTGTATCAAAGCCTGCCAGCATCACTCCAAGGCACGCGGGAGAGTAGCACTTGTTTCTCCTGTGATGCCCACGGGTTAAATGAAGGGAACGGACTTGGCTGCTTGCAGGAAAGAGATGCATCAGATTTAAGAGGACAGGAGACGAAGAACAACAAGGATGGGAGGAAGGTGCTCTGCAGAAATCAGTATGGGAACACTTCCACACATGCTCTGCCTCAGGTCAATGAGGAGCAGCAACCAGTCAGGACGCCATGGAGCTCCCTCTGGTTCTCACTGCTCTGTCATGACTCCAGCCTGCCATCACCCCGTCTACCACTGCCTCTCGCAGGACAGACAACCGCTACTGGGATAGCTCATGAAACTCTGGGGTAAAACATCCCCTGTACGTAACTGGACGGCAGGCCTGCCAGGTACCACCACGGCCAGACACCACCATACCACAGAATCGGCATCTCGCCCCATCACTGAACTAAATAACAGTTAAGAGTAACAACGTGAAAATCCTTTGGGATCCTACAGAACTGAGATTCCCAAAACCCACAGGGAAGCGGGCAGCACCATTTGGAGCTTACAGCCTCCTGCCTTTAACAGAAGGACTGGACCCATAAGGCTTTTGTGATGGGTTGTTTGGTTGTGTTTTTTGGTTTCAGGGTTTTTTTGGGTTTGGTGTTTTGTTTTGGTTTTTTAAACACACTCCCCATGTCTGCTGCACATCAAAGCATTAACATTTATACCCAGGCCTGAAGATGTGCAAACGTAAGAGCCCACACAGCAGCCTTTGCTCTGGATCCACGGAAGAAGGCAAAGACAGCCAGGAGGTAGTGTTTCCACAGGTTTATAAATCTGATAAATACGACTATAACAGCCTGCCCACCACAATGGGGCAGGGGAGAAGGGAAGGGAGTCCCAAAGGTTGCTGAGAGAGTGCTGACTTGTACTTGGCAGCTGGAGAGTACATGACAGCTGGAGAATTACGCCGATGTGTCAAACAGCCTCTCGATCATGTCCCCCACCTGGTCAACTTGGTATTTGATGTACTTCTCAGGGTTCTTGGTGAAGGGCACATTGCCATATCTGCAAAGGAAGACAACCCCCAGGTGACAAATGACTGGAACACAGCAAAGAGACCCCCCTCCTCTGTCACAAATCAGCTCCGCTCCAGCACGTCCCACTTGAATCTGACATGGTATCTTGTAGGGAGCAAGTGACCTGGTTACAACTGGTCTCCTGAGTTTTACATGAACAGCCCAGGGTGGCTCAGAGCCTTGTGCTAGCTAGAACGCCTGCACTCACCCTGACCAAGCAATCAGCGTGACAGCACATGTTTGCAACTAGTAGAGTTCAACTCAGCTTAGAGTTCAGTTTTAGTGTGCAAGGCAGAGAAGCTAAGACAGGACAGTAGAAAAGTGCCTCAGCTCAGGCTACTCTAGCCCCCAAAGACCTCAGTAAATTCAAAGAGAGGACAATTTTGCAAGAGGTCACCTGTTCAAGAAAGCACCATAGGTCTCTTTCACAATGGTTTTCTGTGCCCGGCGGATTTTGTCCCGTTGCTCCATGTCGGGGATTGCCCAGGCCTTCTGGATCTTACACAGCTCCTCCAGCCCGTCATTAAAACCCTGTCCAAAGTAAAACTCAATGAGTGTCCTGTCTGCAATCACGTCTCTGTACTGAGTCTTGATGTTCTTCCCCTCCATTGCTGATCACCAACAGACAGGTCCCCTCCTTAGGCAGATCTTTGGTCTGACTGTCTGTCCCAATCAACTAGGGGATGTTCTTGTGCCATCTAACACCTCCTTACCTTAAACCGCTCCTTTATCATCTGCCTCTCCTTATCCTTGAGCTGCAACGAGGAGGGAAAGGATTTTATTTCATCTCCAGAAACAAGTTTCCAACATCAGTGTTTGCCCACAACTCCCCATCCAACCTAAGTAATATCCTACCTACTTGGCTTCCATTCCCTCTCCTAAAGCAGGGAGGAGAGAAAGCTGCAGTGAGCAGCACACCCTACATTCAGCAATTGGCTTTCATCTGAAGTAGGTTTAACGAGGGTAATTTTCAGCCAGAACAGACATAAAAATAGACTTCTTTATGCTTCCAGCTCTTTCTAAGGGAAGGTCTCAGGGTTTTGCAAATCCAAAATAGAAGCATCTGCTCAGGTGAAAATATAAGAATGGAGGCAGAGATTAAAAGACTTGTATGAATCTGGGGCAGGGGAGATTAGAAGGCAGTGCTGCTCTTCATCTTGTCCCAGCCACAGTATTCAGTCTGCAGAGCAATACTGGCATGAGATATAAAGAAGGTTTCTGAGAATTTTTTAATATGACAAAGGAGAAGATGTTTCCGGCAATTTCTATCATCTCAAAACTGCCCTTGCCCATCCTCTCACCTTCACTCCTAGTTGAAAGACAGGCAGGTTTCTCTCCAAGATGTAATCTGTCACCTTCAACCAGCTGCATGTGAAATGAGATAGGAAAGAGGCAAAGAAGAGTTACTCGTGCCTCACCAGAACATCTATGTCTTCACCCATGACCCAAAGGCCAACCTAGACAACACACACCCCAAAACTTTCCACAGTGACCCCTTCCCAAGTTTGATTAATCGCTTGGAAACCAAAATACTTGGCTTTGGTTTTAGACAAGTTTCTGTTTTAAGCTAATCTCTCCCACTGCTCCAGCAGCGTTGGCTCCCAAGGGCCTCTCAAACTGACAAAACTAAGTGAAGAGTGGAGGATGTCACCTGACCTGCGCTGGTAGGTCTGGATCTGCTGTTCAATGAGCTCCCGGTAAGACCTCTCGGCTGTCTTCTGCGTCACAGCTACCAACTGGATCAGCTCAGACCTGAAAGAACAGAAAACCTGAGGAAGCACATGAGCCAGCTGCTCTCAGGGCTGCCAGCAGGATGGCGACATTTCAAGCCCCTATCAGCAAGTTCTTTTCTGCCCTTTACAATAAAAGGGACCTTGAAATGCACAAACTGGGAGACAGAAGCTACTCCAAGTTACTTTCCAAAGCCATGTCCTCAGTCCTCGCAAGATCCAAGGACTCTCTACAACCTAAGGCATCTCTGATGCTTTTATCTTCCACTCTCGTGTAATGCGATGGTTGTAATAGTGCAAAAGCTTTCAAAAGGGCAGTTTCAAGAATGCAAGAAAGAGCAGAGATGAGACAGGCCGGCAAGTAAATGCACTCAATGCACAGCTCTGCTCCAAGACCATGCTTAGAATCAGTCTGGAATTCAGGGAGATTTAGCCAGGTACACACTTACTTTTCCAGAGATTTCAGAATGTAGTTGTAGTTGTTGTGCAGAAAAATGGCACTCAAAGCTGGGTCTTCATAAACCTTGGATTTACTAAGAAGGTTAAGCTGCAAGTTGCCCAGCACTTTGCCTTAAAGAGGGAAAAACAGAGAACAAAGAAGTTTTGCACTGAAACTTCTCATTACTGACAATCCAAACCGAGCGCTCTGTACTGTCACTGTGGGCCCACAGCAAAGTGAACAGCACAGCCCAACTGCACACACAAACAAGGGTACAGTCACGTGTACTTAATAGTCCTACAAGCCTTACACAGATCTTTCCTCAGCGAGTCACCAAAACCCCTCTGCGAACTAGTGCCTTTGTTGCAACTGGCAATACAGTTGCATTCTGTGTTCAGAATAAGTCCCAGGACCAGCATGACCATGACGCAGGCTCAGATCTCAAAGCTGCCAAAGGACCTGATCTCCATTGTAACAGATCATCACAAAGTAGTACTGTGAACCCATCTCACCATCTTACCGTTAAAAGCAGGATCGAGATTTTACAGAGCCCCTTTGGCAGCTGGGAGCCTCTGTGGGGTTGAAGGTGCAAAGCACTGGGTGAGAGTGGTTTGAGGCAACCGATGACAAAAGCTCTGCAGCACAGCAAACTGCTGCACTGTGCTTTGTCCTGTCTAACTGTAACAGTCTGAAACGCCCAGTTTGACCCTTTTTTCCATCCCTCCCATCAGACTCCAGTTCAAACATGAGAAGATCACATGGAGTAAGAAACACAGCCTGTGCTCTTCACCCAAGAACAAGCTAAGTGAAAGACAGCCGATGGGGCAGAAAAGGGAAGGTGTGCAGAGTACTCACAGATGTAG